AAAAAAAAAAAAAAAAAAAAAAAAAAAAAAAAAAACGGAAAAACTAAAAGGGTTATACTGAATACATATACACACTAACCTTTTCTCAATGAATCTGTCATTATGATGGATGATTTCTACATGATATTGTTTCCAATCAGTGTTTAGTATTGCTCATAGGAACTAGAGGTATGCAGACCATTTCCCCCAACAGACTAAATTATCCAATGATACTGAGTTTTTAAGGTCTGTTTTTTATTTTCCTCCACTTCTTGCTTACCAAAAATTAACTACTGCTTCTCTTGCAGAGATTAAGGAACATAGAGAAGTGCCTAATTCACTGGGCCTTTGATAAAGTGCCAGCTGTCGTATTATTATGTATTGTCAGTGCACCACCTCTAGAAGCATTCCCTATTTTACTCTCCCTTTCTAATCTGATGTGGGATAACAAATCAAATATCCAAGGGGTCTATAATACCAGGCATGAGATGAGGATGTATAACAATGGAAACTGTCCCACATTACTGGAGGGAAGATAAAACAATACAACCACTTTGGCAACATGTGATCAAGTTTAAGATGCACATACACTATATAATCCAGTGATTCCACTCTTGGGTATATACTGGAAGAGTACTTGCACATGTGCTCAAGGACTTAAACATTGGTGTAACTATTTTAACTGGGTAAAAAGTAGAAACAACCTAAATGTCCAACAATAGGAAAATAGATAAATAAATTGTGGTTAATTCATATCACATAATATTCAGCAGTTAAGATGAATAAATTATATATAGCCACATGTCAACACTGAAACATCTCAAAAATGTTAACTCAAAAGCAAGTCACAGGCCGGGCGCGGTGGCTCATGCCTGTAATCCCAGCACTCTGGGAGGCCGAGGTGGGCGGATTGTTTTGAGCTCAGGAGTTCGAGACCAGCCTGAGCAAGAGCGAGACCCTGCCTCTACTAAAATTAGAAAGAAATTAATTGGCCAACTAAAAATATATAGAAAAAATTAGCCGGGCATGATGGCGCATGCCTGTAGTCCCAGCTACTCGGGAGGCTGAGGCAGAAGGATCACTT